TGGCTCCACATTCCCGCTCAAATAGGCCAGCTCTTCCCCATTAAGACTAACACTGTGGTGACATCAGCACTCGGACAGTCAACTCCTAATAAACAGTCTGTGATCCAGTACAGTAAATCACAGTTAGATAATTTGCCCAAAAGATCCAGTCCCAGAGAGAGGACTTTGAGGAGGAGACGGGAGGTGCTTCTGTCAATAAACAAAGCACAGATATCCGTTTCTATTTGTCTTTTATTTTTTTCCTTACAGCCTTTATTTGACCTCATGCATGAAACCCTAAACTGTCTTCTCACTAACCCCAACCTATGAATGGGACAAATGTATTAGAACAAAACCTATGGCTTTGAGGTTGGGGTACATAACTTTCAAACCAGTAACTATAATAAAATTCACCAAAGGTTTCACTCTTAATACAGTTTGCTTCTATCGCTAGTTTTCAGATGCATCTGTGGCCTGTCACATCAGCTTTTTCAGATTTCAAAGTGAAAAACAGAGGTCCACCCTAACAAAACCAATCTGCTCTCAGCCTGAAGAGTCAAATAGTGACTCACAGTGTTCTTTCTTTCAGGTATGCAAAAGACAAAATGTTTTCTGGACTCAGACCTGAACTCGGAATTCAACGCAGACCTGGACTTTGACCTGGGTTGGGACCTGGGTTGGGACCTGGACCCAGACCTGGATGTAAATGTTTTTTGTATTCTACTAACAAATGACAAGCTGTGTGACTTTAGGCTGTACAAAAATTAATTAAAGCTTGGTTACCCATGTTTTGTACCACTTGGTCGATGAACAAATAAAAAAAATGTTGTCTTTATTTCCTTGTAATAAAGGGTCTTGTAAGTCAAAATTTTATGCTTTGGGCGGAGTGAGGATGGTCTTTGTCACTTTTCTTTCTCATGAAATTGATCTAAAGATGTAACAACGTCTACAAACAGGTGCTAGAAGCAAACTGTTCTAGTGCGCAGGAATATTGAACGAATTTTGGTCGTTTGAAAGTTACAGTAGGGCATGAAAGTAATCAATCAGCCACCAATTGTGCCAGTCCTCCCATTTAAAGGTGCAATATATATACAGTGCCTTGCGAAAGTATTCGGCCCCCTTGAACCTTTCAACATTTCGCCACATTTCAGGCTTCAAACATAAAGATATAAAATTTTATTTTTTTGTCATGAATCAACAACAAGTGGGACACAACCGTGAAGTGGAACGAAATTTATTGGATAATTTAAACTTTAAAAAAAAATAAAAAAACTGAAAAATGGGGTCTGCAATATTATTCGGCCCCTTTACTTTCAGTGCAGCAAACTCACTCCAGAAGTTCAGTGAGGATCTTTGAATGATCCAATGTTGTCCTAAATGACTGATGATGATAAATAGAATGCACCTGTGTGTAATCAAGTCTCCGTATAAATGCACCTGCTCTTTGATAGTCTCAGGGTTCTGTTTAAAGCGCAGAGAGAACCATGAAGACAAAGGAACACACCAGGCAGGTCCGAGATACTGTTGTGGAGAAGTTTAAAGCCGGATTTGGATACAAAAAGATTTCCCAAGCTTTAAACATCTCAAGGAGCACTGTGCAAACAGTTATATTGAAATGGAAGGAGTATCAGACCACTGCAAATCTACCAAGACCCGGCCGTCCCTCCAAACTTTCATCTCAAACAAGGAGAAGACTGATCAGAGATGCAGCCAAGAGGCCCATGATCGCTCTGGATGAACTGCAGATAACTACAGCTGAGGTGGGAGAGTCTGTCCATAGAACAACAATCAGTCGTGCACTGCACAAATCTGGCCTTTATGGAAGAGTGGCCATTTCTCAAAGATATCCAATAAAAGTCTCTTAAAGTTTGCCACAAGCCACCTGGGAGACACACCAAACATGTGGAAGAAGGTGCTCTGGTCAGATGAAACCAAAATCAAACTTTTTGGCCACAATGCAAAACGATATGTTTGGCGTAAAAGCAACACAGCTCATCACCCTGAACACACCATCCCCACCTCAGCTGTAGTTATCTGCAGTTCATCCAGAGTGATCATGGGCCTCTTTTCTGCATCTCTGATCAGTCTTCTCCTTGTTTGAGATGAAAGTTTGGAGGGACGGCCGGGTCTTGGTGGATTTGCAGTGGTCTGATACTCCTTCCATTTCAATATAATTGCTTGCACAGTGCTCCTTGAGATGTTTAAAGCTTGGGAAATCTTTTTGTATCCAAATCCGGCTTTAAACTTCTCCACAACAGTATCTCGGACCTGCCTGGTGTGTTCCTTTGTCTTCATGGTTCTCTCTGCGCTTTAAACAGAACCCTGAGACTATCAAAGAGCAGGTGCATTTATACGCAGACTTGTTTACACACAGGTGCATTCTATTTATCATCATCAGTCATTTAGGACAACATTGGATCATTCAAAGATCCTCACTGAACTTCTGGAGTGAGTTTGCTGCACTGAATGTAAAGGGGCCGAATAATATTGCACGCCCCACTTTTCAGTTTTTTATTTGTTAAAAAAGTTTAAATTATCCAACAAATTTCATTCCACTTCACGATTGTGTCCCACTTGTTGTTGATTCATGACAAAAAATTAAAATTTTATATCTTTATGTTTGAATCCTGAAATGTGGCGAAATGTTGAAAGGTTCAAGGGGGCCGAATACTTTCGCAAGGCACTGTAAATCTGGACAAACGTGGTACTGTAACCTCTCCCACTCTCCCTGACTCGGGTTGGCAGATATGCTGACAAATCCAGCTGGGACCATAATACCTTATTATTATTATTAGATTATACAACAGTTTTGTTAACAAAAAATCTATAACCAACACCTTTTTCACAAAGGCATCCACAATAGATATCCTTGTTTAGTCCTTGTTTTATCATTAATGATTTGAGAGACCTTTTTTTGTTTTCCGGCGACTTTACCAGTGAGATTAGCTCGGCATGATGATTTCCCGGAAACCCGGATCACAGACTTTCTGATTGGTAAAACGGTGGAAGGCAGGACATCGAAATGTAAACAATAACAAGATTTAGGGGCTGTAAAACAAATTTTGTAATTCAAATATCTCGGCTGAACTACTGTTATCAGTTAAAGAAGTAGTCGAAAAGAGCATGGTTCATGAATGCCTTTTGACATGTGGCGGCATTTAATGATGATACTTTAAAAAGATGAGAGAGGCCTGTAATATTCATCATATGTACTTCAACTGTGAGAGACAAAATGAGAAAACATTTTACAGAAATCGAATTGTCTGGTTTTTAAGGAAATTATTTGTAATTGAAAATAATTATATATTATATTTAGTCGATATCAAAGGTGCATCTCAATACTTTGTTATTGGCCGCATTCATTCTTCAGGCTGACTCTCACCAGATCCTTGTAGTTCGCTGCGATTCAGACGAGGGTCTGGGATTCCTCAATAGGAGATCTATTTCAGAAGGCGGGGCTATCACTATTGCAATTACTATTGCAACAACACATTATCAGTAGGGTAAAACTAACCTGTCTCACGACGGTCAAATCCCAGCTCACGTTCCTTATTCGTGGAACGTGGGGCCTTCTGAAATAGATCAATGTATTTGATTGGATGTTATCTTGAAAGACGTGCTACTTCAACTCACATTGAAGCACACGACTCAGCACACAACTCCTCCCTGCGCAGTCTGGTTTGATCAAAGACTGTAAATGTTAACAGAAGTAATCACGCCTATCTCCGCCGTTGAAACTAATGTGCCACCACTTTTGCCTTCAGTGGGCAGTTTGAAAATGGCTGCGGGGGCAAGAAAATTTTGGAAAAAAAACAATTACGCATGCGTTAGCCGGCATGAGCCCCATTCATTTGACAAGTGTTTTGGAAAGTCCATAGTGGCTAAACTGGACTGGTCTAAAAAAATACTCCTCTCAGCATTGACACAGATCTGGAACAGCCTGGACCAGGCTGCAAAGGCGTTTTTAGGGAAAAGAAGACGGCATAAAAAAGCATTGGGTAATTCTCTTTCTGGGTCCACCCCCACCGACCCAGAGTTGGATTGTCCTTTGTTCCTTCGGCTAACCCTAACCCTTTGGCGAACAAAGGATCCTTTGTTCCTTCGGCTGTCAGACTGTACAACAAACCTGGATGAGTCTTCTACTGCTGGATACCTGAATTTCTCCTACGGTGGATCAATAAAGTATCTATCTATCTATGTCAGCGCACGTGATCATGGGCCTTTTTGAGCCTGGACCCGCTCCGTCTGACTTTGACAGCAACATTTGACAACTTAAACCAAATTCTACACAGAAAATATACTTAATAACCATATATCTTAACACGGAACCATCAACATCTCGCCTCAAATTGCAATAAAAGTGACCTCCGTGTCATAATTTGTTTGTATTTGAATTTTTAAAAACAACTCACAAACTTTATGACCGCCATCTTGGTTGGAGCGGCAAAAATTTACTTTTCTTTTCAACATTTGAAATTTTTTAATTCTGCTCCCAATTATGCATAGAATTAGCACCAAATTTAAATTGTTGTCTTCCAGGCCCCGTTTGGACAGAGACACTGCAGATATACTGTGAACAACGACAAAAAACAATGTAGTTGTAGCACCTGGCCAGTGGTAGGCAGTCAAACTTTACAACATGACGAGCTCGACCCCAACCATTATAATCACTTCCCCAACAACATCCTCCTATGGCCACCGCAAAGACGTAAAAGAATGCACAAATGGAAACTGAAACTATAGCGTTGCGTGTTTTTTTTTGGATGGACGAAGGAGTGGAATTCTCCTGTAACACCGTCCACCTTCGGGGTCTGATCACCAGGGTACAAGGCTACGACAATTAAAAGTTTAAAATGATTTATTATAAAAAAAAGGGTCTTTAAAAAGTATGATTAAAACCAGGGGGAATAAACGCTATTCAGGTTGAAATCAGAGAGGAGAGGCTGGAGTCTAAAACTTAAGGGTGCAAGCTTGAACAACAGGATTTCAGGGTCCAGGCAATAAAGCGGTTTGGGTTGGCCATGCTGGTGTGGCTTTGTCCCCAGCAGGCCCCAGATACTTCGCAGAACCGCTGGCCTTCAGACCGCCTGGAGGCCCCGAGCTCTGTTGCACACCAAGCAGAGGGAGAGTGTGTGGGAGAGAAGGTGCACTGAGCTTTTAAAGGAGGAAGTACCGCCCACCACAGCTGCCAACTAATTAAAAACATGGTCATTGGCCCACACCAAACAAAGAAAAGACACACAAAGAAAACCACACTCCTGCGTAACGCTCGAAGCACACTTTGCTTAAGTTGATCCATTGCCATTGTTGTCCATATTTGTTCTCGGCTACTGCACGTTTCCAAATGTACATGCGGGGAAGTGGTGAGGCCACAGAGAATTTAGCGTATCTGTTCTGTTCCACTCCGGAGGAACAGAACACGCCCCTGAAACACCGTCTCTCTGTGAACAAAAGGCCAATCCGAACCCAGCTTTATTGCTCAATGTAAGCAGCCCTTCAGGTCTGGGTCAGCTTAGTGTGAAAAACATGAAATTGTAGCATGATCACACGAGTGAGCCAAAGTTTTACATGGGGAGTAAAAAATTACTTTTTAACGACCTAGCCGTGGCCGCTTCATCAACAGGGCTCAAAATCACTGAACATATTTTAACAAGTGAAGCATCTTAAGTTATCTTCAGAATTTTGATCGGTTGAACTGTGTGTAAGTGGCAGACTCGCGTCTTATAGTGATTTTCATATAGACGCGTGAAAGTTCCCATGTTATTCAATGGAGGCAAACACTCAAATCATAGGCAATAATTCTCAATACCAGTGATTCCTTCACGAGAGCTGGGATAAGGGCGCATTAACAGCACCTCCTTTGCTAGAAGTGGTGAGAGCCATTAGACGCCACTTGCTGCTTTGATTTGATTTGATTTTCTCCTTTTGTCTTCAATAGTTGATTTATACCGATGATGAAAATGACTGGCATCTCTCATAGGAGAACTTGCACAATTGGTGGCTCACTAAATACCTTTGTGTCCCACTGTATTTACCCAGCTTTAAAACAATTACAACATTGCAGGGTTGCTCAAAGGACACATTATCTGCCACAGAGTATTTAAGACATTTGAGCAGAAAAATAGTACAGGGAGTGGTTGAGGAGGTGAGGAAGGTTAGAATGTGCCCTGAACTCATTCAAATACTTGAGCTAATGAGCCAGCACCGCGGGCAGCTCAGCAGAGACAATATTATACCTGCAAGTGAGCTCCCTGTCACTGCACACAATCCAAGGTCCTGTCCACACCGAGAGAGACCAGAGAGGGAGACCAGAGGGAGACCAGAGAGAGACCAGAGAGAGACTAGAATGAGAGACAAGAGAGAGGCTGGAGTGCGAGACCAAAGAGAGACCAGAGAGAGACACAGGGATAGTCCAGAGTGAGAGACTAGAAGTCGAGAGAGAAAAGTGAGATTAAGATTAAGATTAAGAGATCCTTTGTCCCATAGTGGGGAAATTTCGGTGTTGCATCACAAGTTATAGAACAGTAGGAAAGAGGAGCACACGGCACACGTTTAGTGAACAATAGCTATACTAATCAAAATAAAAACAATCTAACTCTAGCATCAATAATAAGTATAAAATCTCTATCTTGAAAATATAATAGATGTAAAAATTTAACATTTGACAAAATAAGAGGCAAGTATAAAGTACTGTGTAATCTAGTGCAAGTAAAGTGTAGTTATATGTTAGCATCTGTTCATTAGCCGCGGTATGTTTACATCTGTACATTAGCGGCAGTATGTTTACATATGTACATTAGCAGCAGTATGTTTACATCTGTACATTAGCAGCAGTATGTTTACATCTGTACATTAGCAGCAGTATGTTTATATCTGTACATTAGCAGCAGTATGTTTACATCTGTACATTAGCAGCAGTATGTTTACAACTGTGTATTGCACATTCTGGTATAAGATAAGGATATTGCAACGATGCGAGAATGACACGTGGAATCAGGTTGGCAATGTTCATTAGTCCTTATTGTTTGTTGTACAGTCTGACAGCAGCAGGAAGGAATGACCTGCGGAGCCACTACTTCACACATCGAGGGTGAATAAGTCTGTCACTGAAGCTGCTCTCCAGAGCAGAGAGAGTGTCCTGCAGGGGGTGACAGTCATGGTCCAGCATAGATGTTAGTTTGTCCAGGACCCTCCTGTCCCCCACCTGCTGCACTGTGTCCAGGGAACAGCCCAGGACTGAGCTGGACTTCCTGATGACCTTGTCCAGCTTCTTCTAGTCTCTCTCTGTGATGCTGCTGCTCCAGCAGACCACACCGTACAAGATGGCTGATGCCACCACAGAGTCATAGAAGGTCTTTAGGAGTGGCCCCTGCACTCCAAAAGACCTGAGCCTCCTCAGCAGGTAGAGTCGACTCTGGCCCTTCTTGAAGAGGGCGTCTGTGTTATGAGTCCAGTTCAGTTTGTGGTTCAGATGAACATCCAGGTACTTGTAAGAGTCCACTCTCTCAATGTCCTTTCCCTGGATGTTCACTGGAGCTGGAGCGGCAGAGTGACGTCTGCGGAAATCCACCACCATCTCCTTAGTCTTCCCCGCGTTGATGAGGAGGTGGTTCCACTGACACCAGTCCACAAAGTTCTATATAACTCCTCTGTACTCTGCGTCATCGTCCTCGGAGCTGAGTCTGATGACGGCAGAGTCGTCGGAGAACTTCTGGAGGACACAACCGTCCGTGTTGTGTCTCCGCAGAGTTCATCTGCAGAGTGATAGATACCAGAGAGGGAGAGAGAGAGAGAGACAATATTATACCTGTAAGTGAGCACCCTGTCACTGACACAATCCAAGGTCCTGTCCACACCGAGAGAGACCAGAAAGGGACCAGAGAGAGAAAAAAGAGTGAGAACAGAGAGAGACTAGAATGAGAGACCAGAGGGAGACACCAAAGTGAGAGACAAGAGAGAGGCTGGAGTGCGAGACCAAAGAGAGACCAAAGAGAGAGACTAGGGATAGACCAGAGTGAGAGACTAGAAAGAAAGAGAGAAAAGTGAGACCAGAGAGAATAGAGTGAGACCAGAGATAGACCAGAGTTAGAGACCAGAGAGAGAGAGAGAACAGGGAGTGAGAGGCCAGAGACTAGAGAGAGATGAGCCACACAAAACAAACCAACAGGCCCAGATAAAATTCCTGCCTTGCTGCTTAAAAACCTTGCAGAAGAACTCTCACCAGTATGTCACAAGCTATTTCAGCTCTCTTTTGAATCCACCATAATCCCAGTCCTGAAAAAGGCAAGCCCAAAATCAAATAATGACTACAGACCAGTTTTGCTGACATCAAATGTTTAAAAGTTTAAATGTTAAACCAAAGAGAGACCAGAGTGAGAGACCAGAGAGGGACTAGAGAGAGACCAGAGGGAGAGATTAGAGAGAGACCAGAAAGGGACTAGAAAGAGACCAGAGGCAGAGACTCGAGAGAGACCAGAGAGAGACCAGAGTGAGAGACCAGAGGGAGACCAGAGAGAGAGACACGGAGAGAGAGACCAGAGGAAGACCAGAGTGAGACACAGGAGAGAGAAGAGTGAGAACAGAGAGAGACTAGAGTGAGAGACCAGAGGGAGAGACAAGAAAGAGACCGGAGTGCGAGACTAAATAGAGACTAGAGAGAGAGACCCGGGAAAGACCAAAGTAAAAGGCGAGCCCCAAACTAGATAATGACTACAGACCAAATCTCTAACATCAAATGTTTTTAAATGTTTTTAGAGGCTGATGTTGAATAAATTACGATCCCAGGTAGACAAACCTCGGATTGACAAATTCCAATTGGCTTATGTTAAAAAGCACAGCACAAGTGATGCCAATGCCACATTATGCCTCTCATTTTGAAACATCTTGAAAATCCTGCTGCTGATGCTGAATTACTATTCCTTGATTTTAGGCTTCTTCTGGCAGAAGACTTCAAAAGCTTCAATATATTCATAGCAGTAATGCCAAGGTCGTGATGAGGACACTCAAGTTGGACCACAAACCTACGTCCTCCGTAAACTCCAATGGCTCCCCATAAAACTTTGCATCGAATACAAAATCTGACTCCTCATTCACCAATGCATTCACGGTAATGCTCCAGATGATCTGAAAGACCTCTTCACCCTACAGTCCACATCAGATTCATCCAGTCCACAAACACTTACCGTCTCGTCAAATCACCTTGCTTCGATCCATGGGGGACAGGACTTTCTCAGCAGCAGCTCCACACCACTGAGCACCATCGTCTGTGGAGTGCTTTAAACAATAGCTCAAGACACAGCTTTCAGGAAGACCTACTGCTGTACCACATGCCTTTTACCATATGTATTTCTTGTAAAGCTTTTATCATGATATTTTGACAGTGTTTTTAACCTGCTCTTGCAGAACACTGCTTCGAGTGTGATGTCATAGTGGTACAATGACCTCACACTATTACAGGACTATCTTGGAATCTTGGAAGTTCCCACTCGGAAAAGTGGGAATGAACGCTACTCAACAAATTTTGGCTGAACCTCAGGCTGAATCACTGTCCCGGAGTTCCCAATTTTGCGTGTGTGTGTATAATATTAGCTTTCAAACAGAATGAGCGGAGTCTCCTTTAATAGATGTACATTCAACCTGTTCTTGTTCTTGTACTGCTCCTTCTCCAGTTTATGTCTTTGTGTTCTGATTTCATATGGTTTCCAAATTGTACAATACCAATAAACTTGACAGGATTGAGATTTCACACTATGATTATTGTGCAAGTGGCATGATATGTTTTCACTGTTATAATTAAAAACATTTGCAATATTGTGACACGTTTATGATTTGACAAACAGCTTCAGTCCTGGATCCTGTCCTGGAGAAAAGTTTTTTTACTTTTGCACCGTGAAGCTCTGCCCATTTCCATGCTCATTAGAGACACATTACAACATGTGCTACCAAGTTACTCATTAGTTTTCTCTAAAATGAGCTAAGTGTCAGATATATGATGTTGTTCAGGGCGTCATGGGAGAAAGCTGCTTCTGCTCCTTCCAGTTTGACACGAGGTCTGAGGATCTGAGACTGTGACGAGTTCATAAGGAAATTTAAGTCTGCACACTACCTTGAGTCATATACTCTATTCTGCTATGTTTTTTGGGGAGTTATAATCGATGGAAATATCACTTGGAAACCTCACATAAGTTACCTGAGAACAAAAGGGCTAATTTAAGATAAACTCATTTAGACTCATGTCGCTTTAGGGAAATTCATCCTCTGATTTGATGCTCTTGGTCAGGACCAGGGCTGGACGATTTTGCTTATTGTTTTTTGGTAAGGGAAACCTACACAGACATAAGATAAGATAAGAAAAGACAGACTTTATTGATTGATGTGAAATGTACATGTCACATTAGGTATAAATACTGTACGTTGCACAAAAAAGACTTCTCGTCTCTTTTGTGCAAGATATATTATGTACTGTGGAGTCACCTCGTGTAAGGAAACCCCGCTCCCATCTCTTTGTGGAGAAAGAGACAAATGCCCACAACAATTGTCATGCGCATTGTGTCTGGTCTGTGAAAGGCGCTGTAGAAATAACGATTACTTACTTACAGTCCCAGTCCAGGTCATTAAGTGACTTATTGTGCAGTCCGACAGCTGTGGGGATGAAGGCCTGTGTTAGCTCTGCTTCTTGCACAGAGGGTGCCTCAGTCTTTCACTGAAAGACTCCAGCTCCATGACGGAGGTGAGTTTGCCTAACACCTTCCTGGTGGCCGGCTCACTCCAAGGACCTCAGCCTCCTCAGAAGGTGGAGGCAATTTTGGCCCTTCTTGTGTTGTGTGTGTTACCAGTCTAGTTTATTGTTAATGTGAACACCCTGGTACTTGAAGCAGTCCAACAGCTCAATATCCTCCCCCTGGCCTGAATGTTCAGCAGTGTGTGGGTGTACAGTGTTTTTCCCCTAAAGGCGATTACCATCTCCTCTTACTGGTGTTCAAGCACAAGTGGTTGCCCTACCACCAGTCAACAAAGTCCATGATAACCGACCGGTATTCCAGTTTGTTCCCCTCAGACACACATCCCACAATGGCAAAGTTGTCGGAGAACTTCTGCAGGTAGCAGCTTTGTGTGTCGTATGTGAAGTCCAAGGTGTAGATGGTGAAGATGAATGGTGAGAGGATGGTGCCCTGAGCGGCCCAAAAGTGAGCCGCATTTGTTTCAACAACGGAGATAGGCGTGACTACGTCCGTTAATATTTACAGTCTATGGATACGGTTGAGGTTAGGCCAGGCTTAGGCTGAGGGTTAGGTTTGTTTTTACAGTTAGGATTATGGTCAGATAGGGCTGGGGTTAGATTAGGGGTTCTGTCCCACTGTGGGGAAAGGTCACTGTCATACCTCTGGGAACACCAGGTGCCACAGTGGGGCGGCTGCGGCAGTAAAGTGCCAAACTGCCGTTATGTCCTTAGGCAAGAAACCTAGGCAAGGCCAAGTCTAGTATGTGTGTGAGTGGTTGGTGGTGGCCGGAGGGTCCGCTGGCACATACTGGTTGCCTCGCTTCTGTTATGTACCCCAGGGTAGCTGTGGTTACAGAAGTAGTTTATCACCACCGTGTATAGAATGAACGAATAATGAATGACATGTGAAGCGTGTGAGTGTCCAAAAAAGCGATATATACAATCGATGCATTATTATCATTATTATTATTAAAATCCAGATCATAGAAGGAGATATGACTTCAAACATAAAATGGCACAAACAACTTAAAACAGAAGAGTTTTTGTTGTTGTTGGATTAAAGTTTTGGAATTCTCATGAGAAAGAAATTGTAAAACTATTTGGTAATTCAAACAGCAATTCAAAGTATCCAAAAGTGATTCTTTTGGGATCAGCAACATTTCAACCTGTTTTGTAAAAGAGGGAGCAGGAAAATATGAGAATAATATTCTTCTTTCTGCTCCTTTCTGATTATGGTTGAAAATTTGAGAAGAAAAAATATACCGTGTAATCTATTTTACTTGTACAACTATACATTTTCATAAAATGAATCAAAATAATCTATAACTGTGGGGATAAACATAACATATAGTTTTAAAAATGTCTCCACTGTGAGACGAATAAAGAAATATCTTATCTTATCTTAAAGCTGGAAAACCTGACTTTCAAACCACAAAAAATGCAATCGAATCATGGACATTTTAGTTTTTCCCAGACTTATCTGCTGGGACAAAGGACAAGTATTGTTATACATAGTTCCCACAGACCAATGAATGTCACATGACCTCCTCGGAGACGCCATCTTTGATGGCACGCTGCTGTGTTTGTGCATTCCATTAAACAGAAGAATGAGAATAAATGTAGATATTCAAACGCAAATTGGAAAAAAGGGCAACTTTTGAGCAAATAATTGTATATTAATACAATGGCACCACAGTTTAACGTGCTACGGACATGTTTTACATATTTGATCAAATTATGCAGCAAAAATTTACAAGCAATGCAAACATTTCTCAAAAACTTTAGATTTAATACCAGTTGGAGCTCCATTTAATTATTTTAATTGTATTAACAATTAATTTAATTAATGCTAATGCCACACGGACACTCTGGATTGCTGTTATTGTTTATTTCCGCGTTTTTGACCGTATGTTTTGGTGAATGGTGGGCAACTGATTTTTCCAGGCGTAAAGAGCAGTTTATTTTATGACACAGATCTTTTTACAGAAGCAATGCTGTTTGTGAACATTGTTTTAGCCCACCATAGAACTATTATTATCTATTTAATACATTTACGTTGCCCTCGAGAGCCTCGGACGCGACACCGATCCTCCTCATAATAAAGTAATCTAAATAATGAAACTCTCAAGTTACCAGCTATCAGCATACACAAGTTTAGTACTGAGTAAATTACGTCTGTCAACACATTATAAGATACGATACGCACCTGACACAAAGTGCTCCGAGCATATTCTTGCGTGTTTTGAGGGAGTTTCTTGCCTGTTTATCTTCGCAAGCCATAACCTCCGTGGTTGTTCTGACAAAAGCTTAGTCTTCTCACATTCATGAAGTCTAATGATGGGTATACTGTAAAATCCAAGTTTAACGGAACCTCCGGCACGATTTGAACATCCATTGACCCAGCAGGAGAGGACCATTTTCAACTTTATCACGACATTAACACGTTTCAGCTTCTTTTTCTATTGTTTTTCCCACAGAATGCCAACACAAATGGCGCCGGGTCGGCAAATCCCCGTATGTAGTGACGTCATGTGGGAACTATGTATTGACGAAAGCATTCGAGCCAGGTACCTCAGCTTGAGCGCCACAGCACCCTCCATCCACGGCCCCGCCCCCGTTCATAAACCTCCACTGCCAGCCTCCTCCAATCCAGACCGAGCTCCTTCTTCATACCATACACACATCCCAGCTCTCACACCCGCCTTCCAGCCCCGATCCTCCGCGGACACCCATCCAGACAGCCACCGGCCCATCCAGCACTGCGCATCCGGGCCCCAGAGCTCTCCACGCGGCTTTGCACTCCTTATTCCATGATGTCATACCTGTGGCTGCTGCTGATAGCCTCGCTCCTGGTGGGGAGCCCCACCAAGGCACAAGGTAAGGCTTTGCCCTGCCACCATGTCTTTAGATACACTGGAATGAATGGACTCCTTTTCTTAAATCCTGATTTTATATTATAATTAAGATTTCATATCAAGCCATTGATGTTTTACCTGTTTTCAGTATATGCTGGTTTACACTGCACATAGTGATTGTATTTGTGTTCACTGACATTGATAGTAAAAGCGTATTTTGATGGGTATAGGTTAAAATGGTAAGGCAGCAACTAGGCTCAGCAACAACAGGTGCTGTGCTATTAGCTATGTGTGTTTATGAGGACATAGGGTTATTTACAATAATAATACAGTCAGGGTTAAGTTTAAAAAGAGATCATTTGGTCAAATTAATTGCACATCGTTAATAATGGTATTTCCCCCAACACACTTAGGCAGGTACTTGTATTACATTTTATTGGCGGCTATGCAAGCGAAGATTTACAATTACAACGTATTATTTCGCAACCAGGAGTCGCATAAGGGATTGTTAATTAAGGTAATCATATTTTTATGGTAATATTTACTCTGCTGGTTCTTTGCTGCTTTTTCAATTTCTTTGTCTGAAAATTCCACCATCTAAATAAGCATTGATTTGCTATCCTCTCTGTCTATTCATCTGGCGTATTAGATTTGTTAGATTAACTATTGGTGCTATAATCATTTCTATTCCTACACAAGTTGCCTAGCTTCAGTTAGGCAACTTCTAATGTCTGAGGTAGATTTGCATGTGGGAAAAAACGCGCGTTCCTACTTGTCTTATGTCATAAATCATTTATAAACCAATTATGTTACTGGAATTTTGGCTCATTTTTCTGTATTAACTAAGTGGTGGGATAAAAGAGGAGACGTTTATGCATGTCTCAATGTGGATAATTATTAAACAATTATATGCACACTTTTGTTTATGACCATGCTGCAAAGGGTTTAAAACATTTGCCTCTGGTTATTGTCCGTTACATTACCTTATATTATTGTAAAATCTGTTTGAGAATATCCATACTGCTTTTAAGTTGTAATGTATTGGCCTATAACTTGACATTAGATAGCCCTGTCTCTTTGTAATGGAATGTGCCTGCAACGCTGCTTAGACAAAGTGACCGTTTGTCTCCTCCATATACTTTTGACATAAATGGGAAGCAAGTTAGAACTCTTAAATGTTACTGCCAAAGTCCTCAAAGTGATGCATATTGTGTACAACTACATTGCATCAGTTTTGGGCTTAAAATGAATGACAGCACAGACCGTAAAACTCTCATATTCTCTCTCCTCTCTATTGTTTCAGGGAAGTGAGTCTTTAACATGGACTGATGACCACTACTTTGATTTACTTAAAGATAACATCACATTTATAGACATGGAAACATTTGAAAACTAATAATACTCTTCATTCCTTTAACAAATATTATGATTTCTGGACAGTTGTCATCCTGCCCCCTATGGATCAATGTGTTTGATTCACTGATCGGTTGTTGGTAAATCAATAACTGAGATTACTGCAGTTGTGATTTAGGCCGTAGAAAGCTATTAGGAGTGGACTGGCCGAGTGCTGACGAAAGAAACCGATTTGAATATAAGCTAGCTGCAGCCAATTTCCTTAGACGGGGCATTTCTTCTGATGGTACTAGCGTTGTGCCGTAACAATTTATTAGATTAGCAGACTTTATTTAAGTCTATGGGGCGAGTTGGAACAAAACTTCGCCCATGAGCACTTCCCTATTTAACTTCATTGAGTTCATGTTTCACTCACAGCACAGCAGCTATGAACTGGAGGGCTGTTCTAGTGAAGTTCCGGATATTGTAACTAATATGCTGTATTTATAATCATGTGTTTCATTGCTGTCAGTTCCTATCAACACTTCTCTCCACATAAGAAATATTGTGAACCCAGTGCTTTTAATGCTTTCAAATGTGGTCCTCTTATATCCTTATCATTCCCTGGTTCCGTCTTGTGCTTCTTCCTGTGGGCCCCTGCCCTGCCCCGCGGCAGCCGATGCGATGATTTCAAACAGACAATAAAAAGTGGCTGGCCTCAGAAAGCTGGAGAGGAGAAAGGCTGCATTGAGAGGAGGAAAGCTTTTTGAGCAGCATTGTAAAAAGATATACGAGGAGGAGAGATAGCTGAGGCATGAGAGCATTCAGCACGGTTCAAATAATGACGGTTGATTAGTGTAATTATGCAAAAACAAAGAACGGTTTGGAAGCGATACGCGTGCACCGGCCCTACCGGTTTGTGAGCTCGCTGGCTCCCTTCGCTTTTATTACCTGGGCGAGGGGGTGATTGTGTAAGCCACTGCGCTGGGTGGGTGTGTGCTCTGGAAGATGATACGATAGGTGTGCTGGATTCAAGATGGGGTTCAGTGTTTGTGAGGGACTTAGTTGAGGACCAGGGGAGAGAAAGAAAATGTTGTTTTGCTATGCCCGACTTGGATCTGGGCTCGTTAAAGGTGACCTCTTATGCAAAGACTATTATACTTGTTCTCACTTCTCATTTACCCACTTGAGATGGTTTTAGAATGATGCATGCACGTTTGAGTGAGAATTGAGAGTGATAAAAGTTTATATTGTGATTTTTCAATTTTTGGATTTAACAATTGCATCAGTTGGCACAAAGTACTTTACAAAGTTGTTGATTTGCCAACAACCCATCAGAGAAGGAAACTGTTATCACTGGAAATGTAATGATAACAAAGACATAGTCCAGAGGAAGCAGGTTAATTTTTTAGATTAAAAAAAGGCCCATATTGAAAGAAGTTATAGATCTAGGACTGAGACTGTAAATCACGGATGGAGGTTGTCGATCCAGGACACAGGCTGTATATACAAGACTGAGGCCGTAGATCCAGAACTGAGGCTCTAGATCCAGGACTGAGGCTGTAGATCCAGGACTGAGGCTGTAGATCCAGGACTGAGGTTGGAGAATCATGTTCAGGCTCTAACTTAAATACAAACCATGCTTAATCTTTGCTCTTTGACTGACCCTCCAAATGTTACATTTCATAACTTGGAGCTGCTTGAGTGAAAGTCTTAGTGGCATTGTGTCAGCGGCGTACAGTGGAGCACGGGGAGCACAGGGAGTGTCGATGTGAAACCAGATCCATCTCCAGCTGTAGACAACACCCATGGAGGGCCCGTGTCGGCTCCCCGGGGCCCCGAATGAGGGGCCACGGCGGGGGTAATGTACAGAGCATGTGGGAGTGTACAGCCAGCTCATTAGCAGCCAGAGAGAGCCATCAAAGCCAAGCCATGATGCGGACCAGGTGTGCCCGTGTTTACACCTCCACGCAGGCATGCCAAGGGCTCGTCCACATGGTGCGGTTGTACAGTTGGTGCACGGTTTTGGCTTTTAAGAGATCATTTGTCTCTAGTGGTGCATTTGTACATTTTAATACATTAGAAAATGATAATAAGGTCACATCTATATGCCTCACTCAGCCAGTCAGCCCCCAGCCCAAAGTGTCAGATGGTGATTCTCTGGGCTTTCTTACAACAATGCAAAAGAAGACAGCATGATGTGGTCTGATTTGTTCACTAAATTTTACTCTGAGTAAACTTAAAGGCCTTAAAGTGATTGTCTGGAGTTTGGCAGAAAAAAGAGAGAGAGGTACAGGATTTGAAAAAAACGACCCAAGCTCCCACCCCCTTCCTTTCTGATTGGTCAATGCCTACGTTTCCGTAACACATTTAAATGTTATTATGAGAACACATTATACTTATACATTATTGATACACATGCACGGAGGTTTTCAGAATTATTTGTGTACATTTTCATGACAAAATCATTGTTTTAATGCACTAAAAAAGCGATCGCGGTAAACCCGGAAGTAGCTATTAACGTTGAACATTGTAGGACACATCTGCAGAGGATCTGATTATGGATATAGGTTCAGTATATAAATGGGTAACTCAGCGCGGATGTTCAGAATTCTTGGTTCAGTTTTCATTAAGTTCCAGAGCCTATTAAGGCTTGATTCGGAAGCTCCGAGGAAAACAAACAACTGAGCATGTGCGCAGCTACGAGCATCAGCTCCGATGATTGACAGCCCTTGCCATCACTTGATTGGTTAACGTGGACGGCATTGTGGATTCTGAGCTATAGCTAAGAGAAGGGAAGGCGGGACTTACCCGTAATATTAGAATTCATAAAATTACTTATTTTATATCAACATTTAAGGCCAGGAGGTCAATTTAATACTATTCTTAAAATTTGTATTTCATTTAGAGTTCCAGACTATCACTTTAAGGCCTGTGTATACTCTGTTGTCACTGGTTGCGTTGGCATTTGCACTGGACCCACGCAGCCACAGTTGTTCGTATACTTGGACGTACTCCCCTGCATAGTTTTGAAGATAATGTTGTAATCCCACACCACAACCACATGATGGCGATCTCACAGTCGTTGCCTGGGAAACCAAAGCGGTTCCATTTACACTAGCAACTTTCTCCTCTTCAGAATAAAAACAATGCAAATCAAGCTGCTTGAGCTCATTAAACATGTATCTAGGCGTACGTTTATGTGACAGTTCTATGGACTCATTGTTTCATAACTAATTTCAACTGTGATGCTGTGAATAAAGACACAGTTCTTGATAGGAAACATAGTTATTGTTAAATTATATTCGTGCACAATAAGCAAAACAATAAGTGATGAATATCCGACCAAACATTAACTAATGTCTGCTGTCGTTAACCCCACATTGCCTGAAGCCCCCGCTGAAACACCAAGGCTGTGACACCACTGATGTAGCAGCCATCTTCTTGTGGACCCACCACCGTGGGCGGCACGGTGGCTGAGTGGATAGCACTCTCGCCTCTCAGCAAGAAGGTCCTGGGTTCAAATCCCGGCCGGACCAGGGCCTTTCTGAGTGGAGTTTGCATGTTCTCCCCGTGTCTGCGTAGGTTTCCTCCGGGTACTCCGGTTTCCCCTACCACTAAAAATATGTCCAATAGTTCTGGCATGTGCCTCCTGTACTGGCCCTGCTCCCATCTCTGTGTGGAGTGAGA